CTAGTAGTAACAAGAAGCTAGTAGAAACAATTCTGACTTTCTGTCAATTGCTTCCGGTGTTTCAAAGCTCGTGACAAAGCTCGGACGGCCGAACGTGTTAGAAATCGACTGCACAACGAAATAGGTTTTTGGTTAACGATGATTACTAGTAGCTTCTTGTTACTACCAGTAAGGCACTAGTCACTAGAAGCGATGCACTTGTTTCTACTAGCTTCTTGTTACTACCAGTAAGGCACTTGTTACTAGAAGCGATGCACTTGTTACTACTAGCTTCTTGTTACTACTTGTATCGTGTTAGAAATCGTGCTGATTGAAGTGCCACAGCCATGGCATCTCCCATTAGGCACCAATGCTTCTAGGGAATTTCTGAACATGTGCAAGGTCCAAGAGCCACCACAACACAGCTTGGAATTGTAGTCATGCTTTCTATACTTGCATTCTATGCAATGAGGCATCGAAAACCATGTAGCAAATTAGATTTTTTGTTTCCAAATTGCGGTGTTTGGCAAATTGGCGGCTTTTTTCTGGCAAATAAACAACAGTTCTCACATTTTCTAACATGTTTCGTGTTTGTTCATAGTTCATCATATCCGATTCTGAAGCTGCCAGGTGTCGAAGCCATTGGAGCAGAATTTGCACCTGGACTGGCTTGACTTCAAGACACAACAGGTCGCCAAAAGCAGACCCATCAGGCCGACGTAGCTTTTCCGATCTCTTTTTTTAGTTTTGCGCAGAAGCAAGAAGCTACTAATAGCTCTTGGCATTACTACTAGTAACAAGAAGCTGCTAGTAACAAAGGACATCGCTACTAGGAGCAAGGACGCTACTAACAGCGACCATAGGCCTTGTCTTCGACTTCGTTTGCTTTCCGGCACTGTCTCAACGGTTCCCGTGAAAAACGGTGTTTCTTTGAAAACCATCAGCCTTGGCGCGTTCGTGGTGCCAGAGGTGGCCAGAGGTGCCTTTGTGGTTGAAATCTTTGACCTTCCTTGGAGTTGCGGGACAAGTGAGCAACTTGGAGCTGCCGCACCAAGAAAGCATGGACAGTCCGGGCTGCATTTCTTTTGTATCCTGTGCTTCTAAGGTGCTGGTGGGACAGCTGTTCTACTGGGTTTCTTCCATTTGCTCTCCACTGAGTGGTTTGTTTTGGCTTCTGGCAAAGGATATTCAGAAAAAAAACAAACACATGAAAAAAGACACTAATTCGTTCTGAATCGTTTTCCTGAACCTTTTGGGTCCGAAAGCGAAGTCACCAAGGCTTTGGTGAGTTTGAAGTCACTGACGACATCGATTCTTTGGTTCTATGGGTTGACGGGCAGACAGGGTTGATTTTGCTGCCAGGATTGCTACGGCGCAAGAGCTTGAAATCGACATGTTTTCCTTTCCCTTTCCTTTACCCTTTTCCTTTTCCTTTCAATTTTTCCACTTTTCTTTAGATACTTTTTAGACAATTCTTCTTTCCTTCCTGTCCTATTTCATGTTGATCCTAAGTGTTAGAATCGCTGCCAGACCTCCTTGGTACCTTTTCCTTCTTCGCAGGACTCTTTGGTTGCAGTGTTTGTCTTGGAGGTGCAGATTATATCATCGTGAGCTTAGAAACTGACGAATATGGAAGAACGAGGAACGATGAATATGGAAGAGGAACACACATCCAAAGTCTTGAATCTCTACAAAGGAGGTCTGTCAACGAAACGACATTTGAAGGACCTCAGGCGAAAAATCAACTGGGAACGGCATGTCTTACGGCATGTCTTGCGGCAGGTTGGATCAGCTTCTTCGCGCTTCTATGCTGGGTTCGCCAAAAACAGGCGAAACCCTTTGCTGAAACAGGGAAGCTCCTGGATGCCATTGAGGATGAATGGAAGGACATGTCGACATGTTGCATCATGTTGCTCTATTGCCTTCATTATATTTGCTGGCCTACATCCCACAGTTTCCTTGAAACGCATGGTGTTCATGATGCATTCAAAATACACGGTTTACCAGCGCTGTCAAGAGGAAAAGCGCAGAGCTCTGGCGCGAAAACTGGAGGGCTGCCCTGCTACTCAAGAGAATTGGCAGGCCATTTCCTAGATTTTGAAGCATTTCCTAGTCTTCTAGTCGGAAATCTTGTCTTCAGCTTGGAGTGAACCTTTGCCTAGCTGCGAGCTTCGAGCCGGCCAGCGCAGGCGATTGAGGACATGCAGACTGAAGCCCTTGAGATCCTAAAGAAAAGCAACAAAATTGAGACGGAGTGAAGACAGTGAAGGTGACACCTTCTAGGAAACTCCTTCCGTGAGAATTACAAAGTCAGACAGAGTGGCAGTTGAGCAAGCTTGAAGGCTTGAAGACGCTAGAGAAGCACAATCCACTTGCACCACCAGTGCTTAGATGTTTTCAGCTCGCTCTGTGGACATAGGTTGTGGAGAAAGACTCGACTGTCCCTTTGCAAATGCAAAGCACAGTTGGAACACCAACCTCTGCAAGGGGCTGGTCTTTGGAGGCTTTAGATAAGAGCTCACACCAATTGATATTGACATTGCTTTGGTACATGGCACCATTTTTGTGATGTTTGGTGACACGGAGATATGTTGTGATGTTGAGAGACACCTTCATGCCTCAACGTGCGTGAATTTCATGAAGCCTCGAGATGAGTTTGATTCTGTTTCTTCTGCAAATGCCTCTGGACGCTCTCAATAATCTCCTCATGGCCCTGAATTTCTTAAATCAATTCTTGGCCGATGCCTCCGCCCTTTCCACCTTTTGCTCTGACAGTGCGCTTTCTAAGAAAGCGAAGTTCCAGACCGCCTGAGCGTCAAAAGCCATGTGCACGATATGATGCATGTGCAACACATACAGAATCAACTTTGCAACAACAGCTTAACATCTCAGTTGGGAATAGGAAGAAAGAAAAAATGCAGAAAGACAGGAAAAAGAACGGCAAAGGACAGGACAAAGACAGGAGCAAGATTTCAAAGAAAACAGGAAGGTCTGAGGGTTGCATGAAGAAATCACATAGGAAACCACATAAGAAAAGAGTAACAAAAAGAAGATTGATTTTTGGATTTCTTTTTGAGGGCGCTGGAAACCAAGCTTTCAGAGCTTTGGAGCACACGTTGACTTGGAAATATGCACGACAACTGGCTGCATCAGGCCATTTGGCTTTGACACAGGCTCTGTGAGAGAAGTTATGCAGGACCCCAGGAATAGGTCAATTATGGTGAATTGAGAAGCCTAAGGCTTATAAGGGTAGGTCAAACAGATTCAATTGTAGGATAGGGCTGGATTGCATGATGTGTACTGTAGGGTGTTCTGAACATGATCCACCGATGCGATTGATCTTAGCCCAACTACCTCACATTATGACAGTCAAAGGACTTCTTGTTAAAACGAAGGACTTCGACTTCACTGCTTCTTTGAATTGAACAACTCCCAAAATGTAAGTTTGTCCTTTTCATTCAGGAAACTTAATATAGAATCTTGTACGCTACCCTACAGTGCGAACAAGAAGGTTCGTTCAAGAACGCCTTGAGCGTCCGTGAGCAAAGATTTAGGAGCTCCTAGCGGGCCATGCAGCCCTATCCTGGCTTTGGTTGTGCCAATGGCCAATTGGGCTTTGGCCAAGCTGGCCAAGTTATGTTCGGGGATCCCTATGCGCAGGGGCAGTGGAATCAACAACAGGGGTGGCTTGAAAGTGGAGGTATTAATATGTTTGTTTGAGCCAAGCAGTGGCTTTTGTTCCACAGACCTCAAGAGTGGATTGCCTAGCATTCAATGTTTCAGAAGACAAGACGCAAAAATTGTGAAGAAGAGCTAGTAGCACTTTCCTGCATGCTTACTCCTGAATTTTTGTGAGGGCAAGTGTTCATGTTGTACACCGTGGTACAGTCAAGCCAAGGTACAGCGCCCCAGTGGCTAATCTACAAGCTCCAGCGGTGCAGCAGACGGGAAGTCGGACAGGAAAAGGAAAGTCCAAAGGAAGCGGAAATAGAGGAGGTGCAGAGACCCAGCAGTTTTCCATGTTCGTGGAAGGAAGCCGTAGAGATGTCCAACTCTTCTTCTCGTGTGTGACCACTTGCGCAAAGCTGTATCACTTCAGCAAGAGTGTGTCATCACAACCGGAAGCTTAATCAAGAAAATTGAAAAATACAATGATGCTAATCATCCTCCAATGCTGTATGAAGAAACGCGCTAATCCAAGCAACGCACTTGGTGAAGGCCACTTCCGTCTAAATCTCTTGTCCACTGTCGCAAAGTCTGAGGTTGACAAAACTTTCATTGTCCAACAATACGAACATGACAATCATTGGCTTAAGCTTGTGGATTCCAAAGGCAGGCCAGGATTTTCCCTTCAAGCGGCTGCTCCCACGCTTGGAGTTCTTTGAAACCTCCTGCGGCAGAGAAGCTGCGCCCGCAGCGAAACTGTGGAAGGGCAACCCAGAGAAGAACAATGTCTTTTGGCCCACAGATGTTGAGGAACAAAGGAAAATAGACACAAACTAGAGAACATGAGAAAACAAATCAGTGTTATCATTGTTCCAATTTCTGTTCTAAGCCGAAATTTCAACTTGTTTTCCAAAACCTTCTTGTAAAGTCATCGCCTCACGAAGTAAATGGAGCACCACTGCGATGCCACCGTCTATTTCACCCATATCTTCGGCTGTACTTGTGCAGGTGTATGACCAGTGCCAATTTGAGACTGCAATCGACCTCGTCGCACCAAGCCAGGTCTCAGACCATGCGACTCCCTCGAAGCAAATCCTCCACAAAGTAGCGATATGTAGAACAAAGGCTCACAGGTTGAGAAAGTCAAAGAGTCATGATTTGACCTTGACTTGTTTGCTGCCCTGCCGTGAACTGTCGTGGGCTTACAAGATATAGAGATGATTTGAAGAGCTGAGTACACTTGGAATATTGACCACCAGTCAGCATTGTTGTGAAGTCTTGCGATCCCATACAAGAAGGAACACTGTAGTTTCATTGATGCAAAAGCACGAAATGTGCGCAGGGTCTGCAGGCCAAAAGTCACGCTTTCACGTTGAATCTGAAACAAAGTCCGCGCTCAGTGATGAATGCCAAAACTGTTTGACTTCAGTTCACATGATTTGCTCGAACTCAGCTCAGGCAGGCGCAGCTGAAATCAGAAAAAACAGACAAAGGAAGACAAAAGCGCAAACACCAAACAAGCGTTCGTTCAACAGAATCATTGTGATCAACATGCTTGTCGAAGAAATCAATTCCAATCGCTCAATCAAAAGCACCAAACTTGCCTAGGCCTAGCCTCTTTTGAAAAAGGTTATCCTCAAAAATGAAGCTATGGCCGCGCGGCCCAAGTTGATTCAGCTCAAACCCAAAATTGACAGTTGCAACGCCTTCTTGGGAAGTGCTGTTTCAAAATTGAAGCCTTGCCAGAGCTAAGCAGGATACCTGATGGAAAAGGACAGCGTAACATCACCTGGAACTGCGTAAGGCATAACATTAAAGTCATTCCTTCCCCTTCACAGGTGATGCACATTTTTTTCCTTCAACAGTGACTTTCTTACACATAGTAGTCTGCAGAAAGACTGAGATTTAGATTTACTCGGGCATGTGGTGTATCGCTCCAGTTGTGTGTGTGTGATTCACCAGCGGTCCACTTGGCCAAGAGACTTTTTCTTCACATTTCTCTGTCAATCATGTGTGATTGACCTTGAGTAAAGTGCGCAGACTTAACTCTTCACTTCAGGTCAAACGTCTTTCTGCCCAAAAGTGCTTTAGCGGTCTTGAACGCTCACAGCTCGAACACGAAAGGAATCAATTGCACATGGCTCATTGCCCCGTTGCAGCAAAAGGTATGCAGCCAGCGAGTGGCTTTGGTGCTGCAGCCACTACGGAGGAGTAGTGTTTCTCCCAGCTGTTGTGTTTGCCATTTGTAACGGAATGCTGATATTGCTTTTGCACAATTTTGTAGTGTGTTGTTTCTGCCTTTGAATTTGGAAGAGCTATCCAATAGGGTGTATTGGGTACATGCTTGGTTCTTTCCACATCCAACCCCGTTTCTGCTCATAGCAAGCCACTTGATTCGTTTTGACTGCTCCAGTCTGATTCCTTTTCTCCTCGTCTCGTTCGATTCGAGCCCCTAGTAGCTTCCTTGCTCCTAGTAGCGATGCCAGGAGCCCCTAGTAGCGTCTTGTTACTAGTAGTACGGCCAGGAGCCCCTAGTAGCTTCCTTGCTCCTAGTAGCGATGTCCATGATCATTGACCACTTTATCTCAACGCGTTTTCTGCCGTAGTTTCTGTCAAACCTTCCTGGTGTAAGTTTGCACGAGACCCATACTTACCTTTGTATACCTCTGTGTTTACAATCAATGCCACCAATGATATTGATGGCTGGCAGGAGTCACTTTCTGGCTTTGATGCCATGTCAGCAGCTGCAAGCAGCTATGTCAAGAAGGCCCCAAAGCAGGCCACAAGGACCACATGTGTTCCAGAGAAAGGCAGCAGCGCTAAACAAGAAGAGCTGAAAGAAAAGAAGGAAAGGACCGCTTTGATCAGGGCCCTCACAAAAGGGGCCCTTACCTTCTTTTTTCAGGATCCTTTTTTTGCCAAACAATTCGAGCCTTCTCACCTGGCATCCAGTCAGGTGAAAGCTCCAGCAGAAATGAATGTGCCAAACTACGAGGAAAAGAACACCTATCGCCTCAAAAACAACATCCGTGCGTGGCATACTGACGGCTCCACCAAGCAAGTTCCTGATCCATATGGAAGCTATTCAGAGGTGGGAAATGAATGTGCACCAAACTTGCAATGCACTTTGAGACAGAGTCCATGATGAAACAAACGAGGTCATATTCAGAGCCCTTGCGGTAAATTCCTGTCATTTATTGACCCAGCATTCCGGGTACTTGGCGGAATCAGCCTGTAAGCCACCTATGTAGTCGGCGACTGTCGGAATCCCACCCTAACCCGGGGCGATACTCTGCTAAGCCTAGCTTCCGCTATACGGGGTGCCACCGACCCACACGCCCACCGTCTTCTGCCACGACAACCAAAACCACCACCAACACCACCAACAACAACAGCCGCAGCAGCAACAGCTGGGGGCTCAGCGGTATCTGAGTGCAGAACAGATATCCCCCTGGATACACAACCCTTAGGGCATCGCCGGTGTGTGAAGCTCTACAAGATAGTCAGCGGCGTATTTAGCCAAACTCTCCTCTCAATTGCTTGGTGGTGGAATGACGAGTTGTTTTAGCAGTGCAAGTATCCAGCTAGCGGAAAAAATAGGCCTTGAACTGCCGGGTCTATTTCATTTTGGTTTCTTTATACCAACTTTAGTTTTTGCTTTTGTGAGGGCGAAACAAGATGCCAGGCCAAGCTCCCACGTGCGCTGCTTGACGCCTTCAAAAAAGCGAACTTTCAAGCGCCAACGCCCATTCAGGATGGCCGTTGCAAACTCAACGGGCTGTCCTTTACATTCTCTGGACATTGTCCCAGTCTTTCTTCCTTTTTTGTTTCCTTGTTTGGACCATGAGACAGTTTTCGGGCTTCTTTGTATATTCTTACGTTCGTTGTTTTTCCATCATATCTATGATTTGACGCGACCTTCTTTGGTTTCATGGATGCCGATCACAGATCGGTCAAAACTGTCAGCATTCATTGTACCCAGTTGAAGCTATCTGTGAGGCGCAGGTTTGGCCAATATTGGATGCAGGATGGGATGTCATTGGCATAGCCAAGAGCCTTGAACCATGCAATCAAGCAAGGTTCTCATTGTTGGTGGGACCATTTGCAGCGCTGTGAAATAGATGGCAGTTCACCAGCTCTAGCCGTAGTGTGCTAAGCAAAACCCCCCCTGAGAGTTGGACATATGGCTGCGCAAAATGATCTGTAACTCCAGTGGTTGCATGCCCGAATCCTTACCATCTCAAGCTTCACTGGGTGGCCATTGGCAGTGGTTTTTATAGCGTCGAAGATCTATACGTGGTATAGTAGGCCCTATCACCAGCGACCAGTTGCAAGTCTTGAGAGCAGAGCTGCGGAGGCCTTTTGACGGACACAAACACTCCTAAGGGGGACTCTACCAAGGGGTAACAAAGTGTGACCGAAGCATGACAAAGCAATGTTTCATATTGCAAAATAGGTTGTTTCTTCTTCAGCTTTACATTGCATTTCCAGACGGCCGTTTTTCTCGAGGGATCCAGGTTTGAACTATTAATTCCAACTCGCGAACCAGAGTGGAGGTCATTGCAATTGCTGTAGGTTGGGCCATCGCTACTAGGGTGGAGGCCATCGCAATTAGGTTGGAGGCCATCGCTCGTGAGTTGGAGGCCATCGCTATAGGTTGGATTCTCAACTTGTTTGTAGGGTCAATGATCTTGTTTCCAAAGCATTGCTCCCGTGCGAACTGTTGCGATCTCACGAGTCACAGGTTCCCAAATCCTTCACCGCGGTCGCGCACGCGGACGGGTAATCACGTGATTATATGTTATATTAGTCTAGCAATGCGTGTCTCCCACAACGGATTCTAGATTCTAGATCCTTGGAGCAAGTAACTGATCCTAGATCTGACCTGCTCCCCTGACAAAGCCCAAAAAGACTTCCTGAGACATGCTCTGAAGCAACAAAATGGAAGTGCCAAGTTCAAGAAAGAGCGCTTTCAAGACGTAGCTAGGCAAGAAGACATCGAGCAAGTGCACTGACTAGTCAGTGGCATATAGCCAGCTTCTGTTTTGAAACCATTTGTCCTTGAGTACTAGCCTTGCTTTGTATGACAAATCATTATAATTGAGGAGTGCAATTTCCAAAGTTCCAGCAGACACTTGTTGAACAAGCAACTTTTTTCGGTACACAATGCGTTTACACATGAGCTCTTCTAATGTCAAGAACATCCCAACGATTAACAAGGGCAGGAACACATGAACCAGGAAGGTCTCTCTGCCGAAAGGACAGGAACTGCGAGCAGGGGTTCAACAAAAGTTTTGAAACGCACAACAACAAATCGAACAGACACAAAGAACCAAGAAAAACAAGTTCCAGAAGTCTTTGGCTGAAGGAAGGTCCCAACAGAGTTTCCACAGATTTCCTTTCTTTCGGAGGTTTCAGGTGCTTTGTTTTTCTAGGTATGTGCTCAGTATTTTCCGTATGGAAAAAGACCAATTGCTTCTTGCTTTGGCACAAGGCCTGTCATAGCGTCCTTTTGGTATGCGCTGGCTTGAGCGAGCAGGAACCTTCCACAATGCACTTCCTAGCATAAACGACCATTTCCGCCAAAGGCCGTGTAAAAGAAAGCGCGAATTCTTTTTATTTTTTTCTGGGGGACATGCCCACAATCTGATTCCTTATTTTCTAACTTGTCCCAGTGCACAGCAATGAAGCATACCGAGTCAAAACATCGCATGCCTGGATCACAAGATCGTCCATGTCCAGCCCGCTTGTCCCAGAGCGTTTCAAACACTTGCGCATTGACGAAGCAGCTGTTTGCAACTGTGACTTTTGCGGAACATGTTGAGAACTGTGCGAACAAGCATGTTTGTATCCTGTTCTTACGGAGCTGACCCACATAATGCAACTCTTATGCTCCGCTCAGGACAGGGTCTGGCAAAACGCTGGGCTTCTTGGTGCCAGCATACCGGTGGATGTGGTCGAGTCCTTCAAGTGGTGTCCGGACGCTGATCTTAGCACCGACCCGGGAGCTTGCCACTCAAATCCACGATGAGGCTTGATGCCACGGATGCAACACACGGCTTTAAGAGACAAATAAGCCCAAGTTAAACCCCAACACCAAGTGAGGCAAAGTGGATGTTTCAGATTCGGCCGCCCTGCCCCACCTTTGAAAGCAGAAAACTCTTTTTTACCAAACTCGGAGGCATGTCAGTGTCAAGTGCCACTGCGTACCTTTCTCACAAGCATATTCTGCAAATTTAAGGGCAAAGCCATTGGGGCCCAGATTGGCTGGTACTCGCAAGGACTTCTGCGAACACCAAACCCTTCTACCAACTTCTGCGAAGGCAAACAGGGTTAGCACGAACTTTTGGAGAATTGAAAGCTGACGGGGATACTCTGTGGGCTGGAGAATGCATTAAGAGGACGGAGACACTTGACTCAGAACCTGTGCTTGGAACCTCGGACCCTTTGAAACCTTCACCCGGAACCTTTACTTGGAACTTTTTAGACACTTGACACCGAACCTCAACCTCGGAACCTTCGGAGCCTTCACTCGGAACCTTTACTTGGAACCTCGGAACCCTCACTTGGAACCTTCGGAACCTTCACTTGGACCCTTAAACTTGGAACTTCTTGGACACTTGACACGGAACATTTGCTTCGAACCTCAGAACCTTCGGAAACTTTACTTGCAGCCTCGGAGCCCTCACTTGGAACCTTCGGAACCTTCACTCCAAACCTTTACTTGGAACTCTTTGGACAGTTGACACGGAACCTTCGCTTGGAACCTAAGGACGCTAGGGGCTCCTGGCCTTACTACTAGGAGCAAGGACGCTACTAGGGGCTCCTGGCCTTACTACTAGGAGCAAGGACGCTACTAGGGGCTCCTGGCCTTACTGCTAGGAGCAAGGACGGTACTAGGGGCTTACTACTAGTAACAAGAAGCTACCAGGGGCTCCTGACCTTACTGCTAGTAACAAGAAGCTACTAGGGGCTCCTGGCCTTACTACTAGGAGCAAGGACGCTACTAGGGGCTCCTGGCCTTACTACTAGGAGCAAGGACGCTACTAGGGGCTCCTGGCCTTACTACTAGGAGCAAGGACGCTGCTAGGGGCTCCTGGCCTTACTACTAGGAGCGAGGACGCTGCTAGGGGCTCCTGGCCTTACTACTAGTAACAAGAAGCTACAAGGGGATCCGGGCCTTACTACTAGTAACAAGAAGCTACAAGGGGATGGTAGTCATATGTGTTTGTAGCCTTCACTATTAGGTTGGAGGCCATTGCTAGTAGGATGGAGGCCATCGCTTTTAGGTTAGAGGTGCCATTTTTTGTGGCCTCGCATTTCCGTAGGCTACCTTTTCTACACCCCAGACATGCGGGCTACGCTCGTATTCTTGTTGAAGCGCAGCCTTTCGCTCGCTCTTTACTGTCAAGCGAGCTCAACATGTGTGCAAAAGACATCAAAATCCGAGCGTGGGCGCATCCCGTTCAAACACACACACACACACATGTATTTTAGTCTTCAAGTGTAACTCTGAAGTTGCTGAAGTAAACTTGTTGGAGAATGTAGTAGGCCATAAATCGTAGTTTTCCTCGTTATTCATGATCTCATTTTCGTGACCCTGACATACCTGGTAGTCGTACCTTGTTCCCTCAAATTAAAGCTTTACCATAGTTTTGCAGCGGATTGCCTTTTTCATTTGATCTGCTAGGCTACAAAATTTGCTTCAGCTTCTGGCTGTTCCAGTGCATGTGTCTATGGTGGCCAACCTAAAAAGGAGCAGCTGCCCGCAGTGCGCGCTGGCGCGCCAATTTTGGTGGCAACTCCGGGGCGACTCAATGACTTTCTGGAGTACAAGGACATAGAGTTGACTTTGTTGGAAGCCATCACTAGTAGGTTGCAGGCCATCGCTAAGTAGGTTCTGATGAGCCGGAATTAAACGAAGTAGCAGCAGATGAATAATGTAATTTTTTGCTATGGGTTGGAACCTGTAGGACATCCACTTGGGAGGTGTGGGATATGCGGTATTCGATGAGGCTGATCGCATGCTCGACATGGGATTTGAACCTCAAATTCGCGACATCATGAAGAAAGTGCCAAAGAATCGGCAAACGCTGATGTTCAGCGCCACCTGGCCAGAAGAGGTGCAACAGCTAGCGATCCTTGGTCCGGAATATGCAAGCTTTTGCCCCTAGTAGCATCCTTGCTCCTAGTAGTAAGGCCAGGAGCCCCTGGTAGCTTCTTGTTCCTTGTAACATTGGATATTTAAACTAGAATACAAAGTTGAAGAATTCAGATTTCAACATCCTGCTTCAAAACTGACAAGCGCCACAGTAGGCAAGTTCGTTTGGTCTCAATTTTTTCTATACTTGTTTCGGGTTCAGGCATGACTTCCTCAACACGCCCATACATGTCCAAGTTGGCAACACTTCAGCTTTGTCGGCCAACGAAGACATCAGCCAAGAGGTTTGGATGTTGAACTCAGCTGATGAGAAAGATGGAGCCTTGGTCGAAGCTCTTCGACTCTACGGTGGCCCTGGTCAGAGAGTCCTTGTGTTTGTTGCTATGAAGAAGCAATGCGATGCAGAGACCTTAGAGATTATTTTTTTGACAAGTTTTTCTGTTTCTTTTCGTCACAAAGCAGTGCAAGCTTTGTAGAGACTGGGGCAGGACTTGGCTTGATTTAGCTCGTGCATTGGCTAAGATGGTCATGCGAATGCTTCGGAAATGCAGTATTGCTGCCAACACGATGCACAGCGACAAGGCCAGCAGGATTCAAGATTTTGTTATCAGCTCTCCAACCTACTAGCGATGGCCTCCACCCTAGTAGCAATGGCCTCCATGAGCAACCTTCCAGAATCATTTACATGGGGTATGAATGAGGACCAGGCGCAGCGAGAGGAAGCTTTACACCAGTTCAAGTCTGGTGAAACGTTGAAACCTCAGTCGCCAGTCGCTCTTTCTTTCTCAATCAAAGAGTGTAATTGCTTGTTGACTACCCCATGCTACTAGACTCCCCTTTCTCTTGTTCTCGGGCATGCGGCAAGATTAGACAGGGCGAGCGTCGAAGGTCGGACACCAACTTCGAGCCATCGACTAGCGAAGATAAGTTTGGGCGTAACTTTTGCAACCTCCAACCCAGTAGCTTCTTGTTCCGTTCGTAGTAAGGATGCTCCCTGTACGGCCAGGAGCCCCGTTCGTAGCGTCCTTGCTCCTAGTAGCGATGCCAGGAGCCCCCAGTAGCTTCTTGTTACTAAGAAGCTTCAAAGGCTCAAAGGGCTAAGAAGGTGGTGCAGCAGAGTTGGCCATCACGATGCCGAGAAAGCTCACCGGAACCCGCTTTTTGAAGGTAAAGACTGCTGGATGTTTGAAGCTAGCGAGATCACCTGAGCCACACGAGTACTGCCGGAACAGCCTTTAGAGTTCTTCCAGCCAACTCCAGAGCCTCAAAGCGTCAGAATATGTAGGGATCTGGGAGGAAAGACGCCAGGAAGCTCAGCAGAGCCTCAAAGTGTCCGGGCTTTGCTGAGCCTGCAGAACCTGAGCGGTACTTGGATTCACACGCGAAGTATGGAGCAAATTCACCAGTAGCATCCTAGAAGCTACTAGCAACAAGAAGCTACTAGGTGGAGGCCATCGCTAGTAGCAAGGGCATTACTACTAGTTGTCCTCTCCCTTCATCGAGTACAATGCACAAATCATCCGGCATCATCCAGCCATTTGAAGCTCCTTTCCCCGTCTTGGTCTGAATCGTTCAAAGCATTCAGATAATGAGAGGAGAACGAACGTAGAATGAAGAAGAAACATAAGAAAAAAAAATATATATAAATAGCATGTTACATAAACCAGAACTTCAGAAGAGAATATCGAAAGAACACGTATGATGGAACAAAGAGAGGAGAGGAGAATGAGTTGGGGAGCCCGGGGGGAACAGGGATGAGTCCAGACCAGCTGCGCAACACCCGCTACTCGACTCGCCTCAGAAAGGTGAAAGGAACAGGAACGCGCTCTTCCTGTATCTTAAACAAGAAAAGGAATCTCAAGGAACCAAAAGGTCTAAAGATTCAGAAGTATTCAAGTTTCTCATAATGCCGAAAAGCAAATTGGTAGAGTCTCTTCACATCACCTAGGAGTGTGTTGATTGCCACAGATGTGGCTGCTCGCGGGTTAGATATCAAAGGACCTGAAGTCTTTCGCCCCAAAGCAGATGTGCGATGTGATACATGCTACATGTAAATGAATCAGCGCACCTTTCTTTATTGTTTGCATTTTTTCTGTCCTTCCTTCTTTGTTTTGTCAGGAGTCACCATGGTGGTCAACTACGATAGCGCGAACAGCGCGGAAGACCATGTGCACCGGTGCCTGGTTTGCAGAGTTGGCAGGGCCAACGAAGTTCATCCTGCAGATGCAGTCCTATAGGGGATTTATATAATTGTGTTATTATGTTCTTTTTAGTATAGTGTTTCCAAATCTTCCGCTCCTTGCAATCGTTGCGTTTTGTGTTCTGGTTTGAAAGCGCAAACATATTTTATCCGAGCTGGGTGCTTCATGAGAGTTGCCAATGGTACCAAGTCGGCCACATTGTGGCCAGGGCTGGTTCAGGCATTCTTTTTTGGAACGGAAAAGTAGACACAAACGAGTTGATACCGGCTGAGGTGCACTTTAGCACTATTTCACTAATTGTGACAGCCGTGTGTCGCATGTCTCCTCCAAGGATTGGAAGAACAGGCCGTGCTGGCCAAAAAGGCTACAGCATCACTTTTCTGACAAAGTCAGGCATTCTGCACCAGCATTTAAACTAGGTTGGAGGCCATCGCTAGTAGGTTGGAGGCCATCGCAAAGTCAGGCATTCTTGTAGCGTGTCTCGAGTGTGGAGGTGAAGATGCTTGGAAGGCCATCGACATTGCAGAGGTCATGAAGAAAGCTGGCTCGCCAGTGCCTCCTGAAATGCAGCAGGCCAATCTGATTCAGTCAAGTCCAGTTGAGACAGTTGAGTGACCCTGCAATGGGCTCGTCGCGAACTTGAGTTGCTTCCCCTGTCTGTTATCTATGTCTCTTGTGTTCAGGTGGTAGACCAAATGCTGTGGCGGAGGCAAAAATCACAAGCCAACGACAATCGTTGGGACCATTTGCCGAAGGTGGACTGCAAGCTCCAGTGATGAATATCATGTACTAGCGATGGCCTCCAACCTAGTAGCGAATATCAGGTCTCTTCTGTGTTTTCCTTGCTGTTAAAGACAGACTGGTCCGAAGCTCCTCTCTGTTTCATTCCACTACCTAGCCAAGTCCTTTGACACTGTGGCGCTTCTTTTTTCCAGGTGCTCATGGTGGCAGAGAAGCCTTCCGTTGCCAAACTGATCGCAGAGTTTCTGTCAGGTGGCCGCATGCGATTCCGCAAAGGCGCAGAGGGGATAATGCAAAGCAGTTAAAATCCAAAGGTTGTTTGGTGTGCTTTGCAACTTTCCTCATGTAAAACCAACCACAATTATGCTCCGATTTGGATCACGGTTCTTCTCAAAAGTTCAACTTTGGGCATTCCCCATTTTTTTCCTTCCGGTGCTTCACTTCCTTGACTTCTTTCCCGGCCAAATCTGCCCAAATTCGAGTCTGAATCTGTTCCAAATCGGGTCTGGTCCAGCTTTGCTTCATTTCCTTCTTTCCTGCTCTTCCCTTTTCGTGCCTCCCTGCGGAAGGGAACGAAACGACAGATAATTAGGATAATAGAGCCGATATAGGGAGGGAAGGACAATACAAGCGACAGCTTCAGCATTTCTGAGGTGCATTCATTCCACTATTATTCCAAGCGCAAAAACAGCTGGGCTGGGCAAGAGCGGTCCTGCCACGCGGCCTGGGATTGTGAACGAGACTGCTTTTGATTGGCTTGGATGAGCTCGGAACTATCGCTTGAGCTTGTGCTGGAGTTGCTCAGCGATCGACTCGTCCTGCTCGATGTAGAGCTTGGCCACCTTTTCCTATCCCGATCAAGTGAGGGGGGTTGAAGTTCAACACATTTTCTGTAGGCGTTTCACGAACTTCTCCAACCATCGAAAGGATACAGTCGTACGAAAATTGCTTCCTTGGGCTCGGCAGAAACAACAACCGGGCTTCTGCTGCTTCCTGAAGGACGGCTGCACGAATCACTGCTGGACAACTACCGAAAGGAATACGGTAGGAAGACAAGCCACCTCAGTCGTTCTAGTGAGTCCCAACTCCCTTGAACATAACAGCTCGTCTTTCAAAGTAGATTTGCATGCCTCATGCAAGACTGTCCTTGAATCTTTCGAAGAGTCTCTGCTCCAACAGCGGTCCTCTGGCATCCCGTATCTAGCACACAGAAGCAACTGCCTAAATAAAGCTGGCTCAACACTTCCCACACTGCACTGCTTGGCTCGACGCTTCACCTGTCTTGGTTCGCGCAGATGTTTTGGAACTTTGCTCATGGCAAAATGCTTTGCTTCTGTGGAGACAACTCAACTTTTCAACCAGGTTGGAGGCCATTGCTAGTAGGTTGGAGGCCATCGCTAGTAGGTTGGAGGCCAACGCTCTTAGGTTGGAAGCCATCGCTCTTAGGTTGGAGGCCATCGCTCTTGGGTTGGAGGCCATTGCTAGTAGGTTGGAGGTTGGAGGCCATCGCTAGTAGGTTGGAGGCCATCGCTAGTAGGTTGGAGGCCATCGCTCTTAGGTTGGAGGCCAACGCTCTTAGGTTGGAAGCCATCGCTCTTAGGTTTGAGGCCATCGCTCTTGGGTTGGAGGCCATCGCTAGTAGGTTAATTGGAGGCCATCGCTAGTAGGTTGGAGCCCATCGCTAGTAGGTTGGAGGCCATCGCTAGTAGGTTGGAGGCCGTTGCCACTAGGTTGGAGGCCATCACTATTTGGTTGGAGGCCATTGCTAGTGAAAGTAGAGAGAAGGATAGACTCAGAAAGAACCAAGCTGGAAGAGCAGAGCAGAGCAGAGGAGAGGAGAGGAGAGGAGGTCAAAAGATCAGGACATGTCCATGCCACTTAAGATAAACAACTCTTTTCAAATCTCATGTTTGAACCGCACATCTAACCGCGCTCCGTTTGCTGTGTGGACTTCCAGGATTCCACGCAGGGTCTTCCAACGAGAATTCTGGTCAACGCTTGCGCGCAAAGATTGACATTTCAGCACCCAAGTGTGCCCAAAGATATCAGAGCAGATTGAAAACCACACGGTACACGTTCCGCAACCAAAGATAAGCAAGTGCAATGGCAACCAAGTTTCATCAATTTTCCCAACTTTGTGCAGGTCAAAGCAGAGCAGTCCAAATCTATGAATTCAACAGCTACTTTCCACCAGCTCATCAACAATGTCGGATCATGCAGACTTCGACAATTGGACATGTTTTTGGACACTTCTCTGAATTCACTGACAGAGCAGGTCCACTGTGTACCATGTGGACATTGTGGCGTTTGGATGTGTTTGGGCTATTTTCGAACTTGGAACACACGTGTTTTTGGAGTCTCACCTCTCTCGCTCTTTCAGCTTAGTTGGATTCAGCGAGAACGATGTCCGAGGATTGGATTTTAAAGACAATCGGCCAAAAGACATCGCAGACTTGTTCCACGATCCTTGTAAGAAAACCATCGAAGATAACACGGTCCAAGTCTTAGCTTTCTAGAGATGTGGAGGGTTCTTTCAACTCTTGCAACTTTGTCGATAAATCCCGTTGAGAAAGAAATTCCGATGTGAGTGAGTATTCTCTTTGAGGCCAAAAACCGCATCGTCGAGCACTTTCAGGTCTGAAACAACTACTAGCCAGAAGCTACTAGGAGCAACGGGCATCGCTACGCAAGGACGCTACTATAGGGGCTCCTGGCCTTACTACTAGGAGCAAGAAGCTACTAGGAGCAAAGGGCATCGCATCGTCTGAAACAACCATGTCAAGCATTTTGAGCAAGCTTGTTTTTCGCACTGTGGAGCCGCTCTTCGGCCACGGGTTGTTCCAGGAACTTGCAGCTGAAGCGGATTACTTGGCACTATGGTTGGATTGCGACAAAGAGGCGAATTGAAATCCAACATCTTGTGAAACATTGCTAGCAGTAACAAGTGCCACGCTAGTAGTAACAGGTGCCTTACTAGTAGTAACAAAGAAGCTATTAGAAACAAGTGCCTTACTAGTAGTAACAAGTGCATTGCTACTAGTAGCGATGCCCTTTGCTACTAGTAGCTTCTTGCTCCTAGTAGTAAGGCCAGGAGCCCCTAGTAGCTTCTCGCCACCAGCAGCGACGCCCTCGTCACTAGTAGCTTCTTGTTTCCAGCAGTAATGCCAGGGGCTGCTACTAGCTTCTACATTTGAAAATGACTTAAACACTCATGGCTCATATCTGCTCTTGGCTCAGGGCGAGAATATTTGCTTCGAGGTGATTTCCCTTTGCTACTTGACAGCTGGGCATTAATGAGGGCTGTGTGCCAATTTTGGTTTGAGTCCTCACTACAACAATGATTTGCCTATCGCTGTTCACAAATCAGGTGAAAACATTCCGAAGGAGAATATCTATAGGCAAAGACGGCTTTTCTTGCCTATCGTCTTTGCCGTTTTGTGCGTTTTCTTTTTGCTTTGGTGTTCTTTTTTGTCTCTTATGATCGCCAGGGCCCAGTTTTCTGCACTCACAGAGCCAGAGCTCAAAGGTAGCCTTACTGAAGAGTTTTGCAAACAGGGAAGACAACTAATCGATTTTTGTTTGATTTCCAACCTTTGAGGAGGTTTTGGACAGGACACAATAGGAAGAAAGAAAGCAAGAACACAAGGAAAGGAAGGAAAGAAAGAAAGAAAGCAAGAGCACAAGGAAAGGAAAGATAGAAAGAAAGAAAGAAAGCAAGGGAGAAAGGAAGGAAGGAGGGAAAAGGAAAGGTCTAAATATCTAGATCCAAAGAACCAGCAAAAGAGGAAGAACAGGAAAGAACACAATACTCAAGTCACTCAGATAACATCCCAGGTGCGTTCAACAACCTGGGCAGACCAGATAAGTTGCAAGCGCAATCCGTTGACGCACGACAGGACCCGGGGCAGATCTCACTTTCGTTCCACTGTATAAGAGTAAATAGGTTGGAGGCCATTGCTACTAGGTTGGAGGCCATCGCTAGTAGGTTTGGACACCATTGCGAGTCTACGTTGATTGATCAGCAGTCCTTCGACTTGATGTGATCGAAGTACTTGATGTTCAGCAGCGCTCCATTTTTCCATGCTGTGATCGAAGACTTGTCATTCGTGACATGTTATACACTTGCAACTTGCAACTACTGTATGTTCCACATATAGCTATCCACCAAGAAATTGATGGAAGACAGCATATTACATGCAGCTGGAGCTACAGCTTTGCAGGAGCTTGACCTGAAGATTGGCTGTATTTTCACTCGCTTGATGACGCGGCAATATTTGCGGTATGCCGTGGACAAGTTCCGCTTGCGAGACCAGACTTGTCTGTCCTATGGTCCATGTCAGACACCAACGCTATGGTTTTGTCAGCGCCCCAGCACTGGTGAGTTGCTTTTCAACAAGGTTTGCTGAACACAGGTGTGGAGCGTCACAAAGAAATCCAAAGTTTCCAGAGGCGGGAGCAAGTTGCTTGGTAGCTATTTTTTCCTACAGCGTTATGTCAGGCAAGAGTTCTTCAAGCCGAAAGCTTCCATCACCCTGGATGGATGGCCTTTGGAATTTGATTGGCTGGAAGGACAAACCTTCGATAAAGGCGCATTGAAGGGAAAAATGTCTGTGACGCGTGATGTTTTTGGAAGAGTGTCCTTGTGAGGTGAATCCATATTTGTAGGAGCAAAGGGCATCGCTACTAGGAGCAAGGACGCTACTAGGGGCTCCTGGCCTTACTACTAGGAGCAAGAAGCTACTAGGAGCAAAGGGCATCGCTACTAGGAGCAAGGACGCTACTAGGGGCTCCTGGCCTTACTACTAGGAGCAAGAAGCTACTAGGAGCAAAGGGCATCGCTAGGAACAACTTGTGAAACACCTTGGAATCGATTTTTGTCTAGGCCGAATCCAGTCCTTGCAATCTCGCTCGGGCTCTGCCAAGCAGGCGGTAGTCCAAGATCTCAGGTGCTTCCAGACACTTACGGATGTATAGAACACTCACTGGTTTGGCACATTTTTGCACTGGTTACCTGGTAGTAAGGTGCCTTGCTACTAGCGTCCTTGCTACTAGTAGTAATGCCAGGAGCTACTTTACTAGTAGCTTCTTGTTTCTAATAGCAATGCACTTGGTGAAGTTTGATAGAAAGACATGTTCTAATGAATGTTTCTTGATCATTCAAGAAGGCTTATGTTTGTGTCCTGCCGTTTCCACCGAAATCTCACCAAATTGACACAAGGACGGCCGGGCAACAATTGTTGGAACCCGTTTCGCCAGGTCTACAATGAAAACATTGAAGAAACCTGTAGGCCTCGACCTGGGCGACCTCGAAAGCACATTTTGCTTGGATTTTTTCGGAGCAGATTTTTTTCGGAAGGCCTCAATACTGTGCAGTTGCTCAAGGCTGCCAGCACTGGACTTGGAATCTTGGTCGAAAATAGACACGTTTCTTTTCTCAGAAGAAGACGACCAGTAGGAGTTCCGCTCAACATGCAGCTTTCTAGATCAGTCAAGAAGATGTTTCATAACTATTAGGTTGGACAGTAGGACGGAGTCTGATGGAGGCCATCGCTAGTAGGATGGAGGCCATTGCATCTGATTCGGCCCTTGGCTTTGAGCTCTCAGATCTCTCAGGTATGTCACCTGTTCAGTCTGGAGCTTGCTTCAAGTTTCTTGTTCTCCATGTTTTCTCGTGTCGTCCCCTCTAAGAAGCCATAAGGTGCATGAAGGTGGCTGAGCACTTGTATACTTCGGGCTACATCTCCTACCCCCGTACCGAGACTACCAGGCGCATTGCAACTGTCAGGCTTCACTTCTCAAAGGGTCCAGACCAATGGCGAAAAGAATAGAAAAGAAAGAGCAAATGAAGAAAAGAAAGAAGAGTTTAACTGTCTTTGTTTGTTCTTCTTAAGATAAAATGACACAAGAAAATAGCAAGTGAGTGACACTTCTGGGAGTCTGGTCTGAAAGCTTGGGAACCGTGGGCTTATGTGGGCTCACAGTGATATCCGAAGCTGGGCCTCTGCGTCCGGTGGTGTGCCAAAGACCCAAACAAAGACATGTAAAAGGTTCCCTAGTAGGTTGGAGGCCATCGCTCTTGGGTTGGAGGCCTTCGCTCTTAAGTCGGAGGCCATCGCTCTTAGGTTGGAGGCCATCGCTCTTAGGTTGGAGGCCATCGCTCTTGGGTTGGAGGCCT